ACCAACGCAGCTTCTGGTGCTGGACACATTCTTCAATGAAAGTACCCATTGCATAACCGAAAACGCGCTTTCTAACAGTCTCGTTACGGATTCGCCGACACCAATACACACGAGCTATGTTTCTGAGACAACTATTGTCAAACACCTGAAGACGTCTCAGGTTCGCTGCTCAAACAGACCAAGTCTCAAAGCCATAAAAAAAAACAGCCCGCACTGTAGCTTGATACACAAGTCTCTTGAGGTTCAGGGATAAACCATTCTGACGCCATAGGTGTCTCAAGTTAGCAAACGCGGCCCGAGCCTTGCAGATTCGTGCATTCATCTCATCTGTCACACTACAATCAGAACTAATACAACCTCCAAAACGCGGAATCTTCAGTCACACAAAACAGTTACGATACTGGCAATTGAGTTGACCCTCCTCGAGGCTCATCCGAAAGCAAGATATTTCAGATCTTGTGAACCAATGATAAATTCCGCACAGCAACCAACCTCAGTTGAGTCTCCAGCTCGTGTCCCGCCAAGGTTGCCACGCTTTTTATCCATAGGCGTAATATATTCCAATTCCGCTATCGAAGTAATCTGAAAAGTTACTGTACTATTCGGTGCCTGCCAGTTTGACTGACTGGTATGTACATATCGATTATTTAAAACCTTACATACTGGGCTCCAACTCATAAGTTTTATTTCTATTTTCCGTCCACCAAATAGTCCCTTGGTGCTTCCACACATCACCACTTGACAATCTATATCATTTTGCCATTTTGATGAAATAAATTAAGGGGATCTTATCCACATTTTTCCCGTGATTTGGGCGAAATCACCCTGTACAGGAACAATAAGCTGTAATTTATGCAAAAATCGATAAGAAACTGTTCAGTTTGTGGTTGGGCGCAAGCATTTTATCGTGAAAATTTTCTAGTCTTCCAGAATTTGAGGCTTTATTTGGAGATGGACTGCAACTCAGGGAACAGCAGCGGGTACACGTAGCAAATGCACTCTTGGAACGAGCTCCTTGAGAAACGAATAACTTCAAGAAGGTTAACGAATGGCTCCATTGAGGAGCCCTGGCATGGCATTTTAGAGATGAGCTGCGTAAATAGTTAGGCCACCCCTTCATTTGAACACGGCGTAGAACTGGTGAGTGGTGGATAGTGATCTGACGTGACGCGTCGCGGTTATCAGCTAAGAGGAGTCGTTGAGAGCAGTGATCTGGTTGTCTGAAATGTACAGCCCAATGCAACCAGAGTCTAGCACTGCTTTAAGGATTCGACAAACCTACTGGCCTACTCACTCACTTGACTTGATAGAATATTTGTACTGACAGCCAAACTCTTCTGAAGTGAATGTGATCCAACTTGCTTTGTGGCACAACAAAAGTATAACTTAATGAGAGTTTTTCAAATAGATTAACGAAACATTTGATCAAGTCAATGCATACCTTTCTAGACAAGGAGACAAACATTCGGTGGGACACGAGAAGGCCGATAAATCTTGTAGTGGAATGTCCTTCCCCAAATCTATCTTGGTTTAGATCTGTTGAACGTCGCTGAATTAACCTAGCATTAACCCAATCATTCGTTTTGCAGTGGCTCGAGGCCGGACAGTGCGTCGACTTTAGTCTTGAAACCTAAATGTGGTGTGAACTCGTACTAATTGTCTTTGAGTTTGCTGTTTTCAATGAGACTCCTGGTTGATGCACGTGGGGATTTTGCGGGAGGTGTATTGTTCAGTTTCCTTCAGTTTCACATGGCTCGTTTTGAACAGTCGTCCTCCTGTCCTGGCGCAATTATTCATGTGAATCCACACCAAAGGGAAGCACTGGACTCGAGTTAGATAAAGCCCATATCCAATGGTTTAAACGGGGTTTAAACTCCGGACATCTGACATGTGAGGCGAACGTGTTCCCACTACTCCACCAGCGCACGTTGGATGCATTTAAATTCTCGCGTCTGAACGGGCGAACGTGTTCGCACCTGAGCGATGTGATGAGTATGTTCGACAAATAATCGATACTCGAGCTCTAACAAGAGTGAAACTCGGGCCCAGTGCTTCCCCCTTTGGTGTGTGTGTGGTGGTGTGTGCGGTGGGTTACCGCTACGCACAACTACGCACTGATGATGTCACCTCGATTGTTGATGAAGCGTTTGCAACCAGATTGCCCAGCTCAGCGAACAAGCCAACGACCATATCGCAACATCTCGAATATCGTACCAGCTAAAACATAAGGCGTACTGGTCCAGCGCATTCACATGGAGCCGGCCAGCACAAACGAGAGACTCAGTTGGACTCAGTTGCTCTTCTGTCAACACCAAATTCGTGTGCAAATGATAACGTTTGTAGAAACCGGATCTATTCTTGTTGGTCCCAGTGGACTTTCAGACCGGTTGATTTATTTTTTTAAATTCCCTCTCATGTTCTATTTCAACCTTTGACAAATGCAAGATTGATGACACCAACCAAGTTTGCGAGGCAACCGGATTTAAAATAACCGACCGGAGCACAATGTACCAAGAAAAACAGTTTACTACCCAAACATTAGCTCAAGGTCTCAGAAGTTCTTAAGCGAAGAGGCCCAGAAAAGACAAAATCTGATGTTAGAATCTGAGCTGCCCAGTTCAGCTATCACTGTGTGAAATCAAAATGTGTTTTTATTTTAGAATTTCTGATAGTCGCTGACTCCTAGTTGTATTGAAAAAAACCCGAGTGACTCACTGTGGATTTGAATTAGCTTGAAGTAGCTGACCGTTAGACCCAACGACCACACTTGGTCCTAAAAATTGCTTGATTTATTATTTTTGTGAGCGGGAAACCGTCCGCGTGCGTATCTTGAAAGTCTTCAACATGAAATCAAATCACCCGCAGCATACACCTATATCTGTAAGCCCTGCTTGGCGAAAGTTTTTCACAGCTGTCCACAAAGTCTTTCATTTGGAAATGTTGAAGTTCCTTCATACCAGTGAGTAAGTTGCTCTTGTTTAAACGTGCTCTTAGAAGGTGGCCAAAGTGGTTAGAGTGCGAATTTACTGACCGGAAGGTCTGTGGTTCGAACCCGACCACTGCCTCTCGACTTCCCCTGTCTAGGATTGGGCAACCTGGCAGTATCTGGGCCCTCGTACAACTTTCGGGTGTCATGGCAGTTAGGCATCGAAAATTTGCAACAGCTGAATCATTTTTTCTTGGAAGGAAAGTGTATTTTTGCAGTTCACAAGACCACGGATTATGAATTATTTTTAAATAAGCAGACAGGCCTTAAAAAACAGCGTCTTTCAAAACGTAATCATTAGCACGCCGTCATCACATCGGACGATTTGCTCAAGAACCGAAATATCACAATTTTTGAGGACAAAATCCGAAATCAGTTTTTTTGTTCTCAGTGAAACGACATTAGAATTGAGACACAACAGAAATCAGATGGCACGGAGGTAAAAAAAAACACATCAGAACTTTCGGCACAACGTTTTTTTCACCAATGCGTCCTCAGCAGTCTGACATAATCTGTCTCCTTTTCCCACGATTTTCCTGGCAGGCGGGAATCCACAAATCTAGACATGTAACACGTTTTTGTCCATTTGTTATAGTACACCGAGCGGCAAACCTCATCGTTGCGGCACCTAAGGAGAGCGTTTGATGAAAAAGCATCTATATCAGTACTATATATATTAATATAATATAATACAAAATTGTCACACGGGATGAATTTTAGCAAAGTGTGATCCGATGGACTGGTCTTCGCCGACTGTATAACATTTTATTTCGGGAGATCAGATATTTATATCGCGTGCTTATCAAAATCCAACTTGTGGGGAGTACAAGGTAGGGCTGTTTCACTTATGCGAGTATATTGGATACTGTTGCATCAATCAGTTTTTAGATAATTCTAGCAGAACAACGTCCAAGAAGTGATCACTTAGCCCAAATTTCGTGGAGCATATTTCATCCGGAACTTCAGAATCTGAGTAGATTCTAGGAAATCTGAAAAGACCACACACTTTATTTTTTGCAGGGAATGTAACTTCAGAGCAGAGACATATTGGCGAAGGTTCACCGCCTCAATACAAACTCCTCTATGAATTAGCAATAGTTATTACTTGTTTCTTTGTTTTTTTTCCTATAGTAAGGCGATCATACTACTGGGAATTAGGTGTCTCAAATTCTGTAACTGAGTTGTTTTCACATATCGACGTTATTGCCGGTCATTCCAGGGACACAAGGCTGCCCTAGGCCTGGATTATCAGATTAACAGGCATCTGTCCGGGCTTTTAATTCCTCACTGCATGAAAATCAATACGCAATTCTGAGGTACGCATTGGTGGTAAGGCGAGGGTCGAGGAAAACACTACAACCGAGGTTGTCCACACTGGTGGACAACCAGCTACTGCAGAAAGATTGTGTTCAAACTATCAGCCGAAAGACCTCGGGCTTGAAACTCCCCACAAGAGCTTTGTGAGGTGTTCACTAGTGACGATTCGCATCAAAAAACGAAATGGCTGTCTGGTGATTCATAACTTTTTTCAAAAAGGGTACAGCCTTCAGAATTCACAGATCTCCCCACACCAACAGAAATAGGATATCTTCAGTGTCCGGGTTTACCCATGACAATACTTTTTTCCTCGAAATGACAAGCCATGTTTTATTGGGCATATGGAGATAAAATATGTTTTGGCTGTACTTACCTGAATGCACATTTGACTAGAGTTTCCTGTATAGAATCAGAGAAGCACCCTTTACTGGAGGCAGTTTTGAGGAATAAACCGTTGCGTGGTTGATTCTTCACAAACAACTGTACGCTCGATTTTAGGGGACTAGGCACTCTGGACAGTTCACAAGTCACTGCGCTCGTTATCGACCGGTGTTCGGTATCAACCAAACCATACTTGGACACCATAACGATACGCTCGTAACCGCTGACTGGTTTGCCGAATGACCATTTAAGGTCCACACCATCTGCAACCCCCGTGCTGCTGCCAGGGTCACTTAACTGCCAACCGGAATTCATTTTCCCGACGTCAACTAACAGTGTGTGTAATCCCGTAAATATTTGAGCACCAAGTTTGAAACGATCACGTATCTTCATAGCATGTTGTCCCACCATGAACATCCGTACATTGCGGTCGCGTCCACTACGTTGGCACACTTCGTGGGCTTCACAGTATGTATATTTTCCAGGAAAGTGGATCATGCACTGATCGTCACCGACATCCAAAAGAGTACTTGGGCATTCAGTCTGCACATGGAGTACTGGTATCATGGATAGTAACAGGAAAAGCCAGGTCGACATACTCTGATGTTTCGCATCAAGTCAGACATCCATGTAGGTGAAACACATTCTGGATGATTCCGAGTAACAATGTAGTGAATAGACAGTTTCGCCCTCTTGCACTGAAACACTATTCATAAGCAACTGATGACTCTGTGTGCTTAAAATTCCGTGTCTCTCGATCCAATTCAACCGACCAATCAGAAGCTTATTAGCGGCTAGATGGTCAACCAATCGGAGAGCACCTAAAGCTACGATCGCAAAACGATCACGTGATGCACATACCTGACTGGTAAGGTTGCTGGAATCTCACCAACAGCCCGCGAACGATTTCACCGTTCTTCGGATTTATCAGACAGGCTACGTCAGGCTTGCTAATGAAATAATAAATTTCAAATGGGCTCCAAACATTGAACCAGTGGTCAGAACTTCAGTAAGGAGATTTGGCTAACTTATCATAACTTTATCTGTAATGATGTCACATTTTCAAAATCAGAGATGGTTTTAGCAATGTTCTGAAACACTGGTGGTTGGACATGCAAAGTATACAAAACGATGTGCTGGACAAATGAGGATTCAAATATGCCTGAGGAAGCACACCTTAAAATGGTGAAACAAAAACATTGAACGGGATATTAAAGAGAAGAAATGGAGTTTCCGCAGTTGTACACGTAAACGGCAGTCTAAAACGTTTGTTAGATCTCTAACGTGAAATCAGATGAAGCCTGGTTTTCCTGACTGATTGATTTGTTGGTTGACTGGCTGACTGCCTTGATTGGTTGGTTGATTGATCGGTCGGTCGATCGATTGGTATAAGGACTGATAACCTAGACAGTATACTGAATGGTAATCGTTTTCTTTTATTCAGTGGTTTCCGCAGAAACCGCTGTCAAATGTGACATGTTTTCATGATCAGCATTATGCAGTTTGATATAGGAAGCTTTATGAGCTACAATGAAGTATGAAACAGAAGAAACCAAGAGTACAAGTGCTGGAGGTTACCACATATTTTTGAAAAGCGATATACTCAAGTCAGTAGATTTCTTGGCCCGCAATGCGTTTTCATTCAGCGATGCGTCGCGAAGGCGTTAGGCAACACTGTAGTTTTGTTTATATATGTCTTATAGGTGTGTGGGTATGATCGCCGTTCACATGGCCGGCTTAGAAGTATGGAACAGAAGACTGGGTGGTAATTCATTGCCATCACCGCCCTCGATCATCGTCTTGGAGCCAGAAGAAAGGGTTCAGAGCAGTCTCAGGTTTCAGGAAGTCTCACCATCAGCGGAAAATAAACAGGTCCCACCAAAAAACTTCAAAATGCACGTGATGATATTCGTCTCAAAATACGCTTGTCAGTTGGTTGTTGATCAGATGGCTGTTGATCTGTTCCCCGAGCTTGGCAACTGGCTTGCAAACGTTTCGTCACCATACGAGGAGACATCATCAGTGCGCAGTTGTGTCGGTACTTCTCCCTTGCCTACGTGCGTTTATATAGCATTCGGAGGCTATCTGTTATCTTCTGACGTGACTGGCTACTGGAAGTGTAACGAATTTAGTGAATCTATTGGTCCGTTTGTAATCTTTGTTGCGTTGTGGTCTGTGTTCCGTTGTGTTGATTGGTTATCCCAACGGCTTCTAACTTTATTAGCTTGTTCCAACGGTTGTCAGTTCTGAAATCATCAAGTGATTTCGGATGCTTTTCTCACCAACTTAGCCTCCGCAAGCTGATACAATCTGATTTCTTTTGTGAGGGTGCTCCTGGA